GAAAGAAAGCTCAATTCCCATAGCAACTCTAAATCTACCGTGCTATATTTATATTTGGGAGTCTGATTTAAATACATTAGCGTATGTGAATCTGCAATGTGTCTGAGCTGCTGTTGCCACAGAAACCATAATGCTGAATTTCCTTTTAATTTTTGTAGGTCTTTACATAGCCTACCTCCCCAGACAGCTATCAAATTGCAGGTAGGATCAGGGCAATTACAGTTATAAACGTCACAATTCACAAGGATGTAGAAAAACAATAGACAGCTATCACTGTGCATTCAAATGTATGGCTGTGGGTGGTAGGTTAAGATCAATTGAAAACACGATTCCTCAGAATTCAGTCAGAATTGATCTTACTTGGCAACTACTCACCCTTATATGAAACCTGTTTATATTAAAGTTGATTATATATTAAAGAGGTGAGTTGCCTATCTATAATACACAGACACCAACCAACTTTATGCTTCTTTGAGTCCAGAGGAGACTCATTGTTTGTTTGTTTGTTTGTTTTATTTTTTCAAGACAGGGTTTCTCTGTGAGGCCTTGGCTCTCCTGGACTTGCTTTGTAGACCAGGCTGGCCTCAAACTCACACAGATCTACCTGCCTGAGTGTTGGGACTACAGGCATGCACCACCCTGCCGGGCAGAAAAAGTTGAAATGACAGAGAAATCAAGCATGCTCTCAACAAGAATGCGCCAAATATGTGGAGAGCACCTATTTTATACAGGAACCTTTCTCTTGTGCACGGCTACACACAGCACGGAAGCTGCAAGAGCAGGATTTTCTTCCTCGCTACCATAAACAGGTCTTCTCAATCACCATTACATGGACCTTACACTCTACTCTGGCCATTCTGTCATACGAGATGCTTTAAAGCTTTAAAACAAGCATGCAAGTTAAATCACATCAGAGCATATCTGTGAGAAATTCATCCACTGTAAAATTAATCATGTGTTCCAAATTACCACCCCCTATCCTGTTTTCAACCATACACATCCTTACTTGTTTCCACGGATACAGATAATTAAAAAGGAGACAAATAATTAATCAAGGTTTTAATATGAAAACAGAATGATAGCTAGATTGACCTAGCACAAGAACAGGGTCCCCAACTTCCATACCCACTTCAATTCATCACAAATTTTTTGTTTGTTTGTTTTGTTTTTGTTTTTAAAGTCAGTTTCTCTGCGTATCCCTGGCTGTCCTTGAACTTGCTCTGTAGACCAGACTGGCCTCGAGCTCGGAGATCCACCTCCCTCTGCCTCCTGAGTCCTGGGAAAGGTATGTACTACCGCCGCCTGGCTTTCATTCCATGTCTGGAATGGAGAAGTCAGACGAGTGGTCTTGGGTGAAGGACAACTCATACCATATGTACATCAAGACCACATTATAGAGAGCATGTTCTGAACAGAGACTTCTCAGAGAACCCTGAGACCTCCTACATCATGCTCACCCTTGTGGGACTCGTGCACCAGCTGGATCTGGTAAACTTCTCACTGAAGACTCTTGCATCTTTTACTGCTGTTTGTGCTAGGGTACCTACAGATCCTGCCATAGGTCATGTGCTGGGACCTGATATCCCCATGTTCTATAATACGTATGTCTTGACGAAAAAGGAACAGACTCTGAAAAAGTCCCTAGGAACCTGGACTAAAGTTCACGAATTCTAGAAACAGCTTTCCAGCACCTCTCCTGACTTCCTGGAAACATTCTGACCTTACATTTTCTTGGCCATGTCCCCAATATCTAAATGCAGGATTCTGAGAAAATTCGGGTCCTTGTGCATATCTCGGGGCCTTTCTCCCATTGTGGTCCTTAAAAACCATATCCCACGTGAAATATATGTCTTGTGGTAATTTTTCTCCAGTAAAACTTTACTGCCTCACAATGTCTAATATTCAGGACACATTTGATTAAAGAGGGATGATTAATTTGCCACCTGAAAATGCCATTCCTCTCCGAGTAATACCAACAAAGTAAACACCACAAGGTATGGGAGCAGTATCAGAAACCACTGCCTCCTGGAAAATACACACACACACACACACACACACACAGACACACACAAAAACAAATCAAGTTTATTAACTGCTGACTTTAATATGTTTCCTGAGCTTTGTCACCTGAGAGGTTAAGTTCTGGAAAACACAGATTTCTCTTTCAGGTTCACGGCATTTTTATCAAAACAGCACAAATTCCTGTGTGGTGTTTGTGGGCAGGCTGGCCAGTGTAGCCTTCTGGGGAAAGGAGCAGAAGTGTTAGAAGGTTAAAAAAAAATAGGTAAAGATGAGTTATGGGTGTGAAAGAAAACTATGCTGAGGTTTATTATTAGAATTTTTAAAAAAAATACAGTTGGCTTTCAAAACCAACCTGTCCACCAGGAACAGCTACGAAAACAGCATTAAGGAGGGAAGCGGCAGCCTGCATTGGGTTCTCATCGAGTTTTCTCCCTTCACATGCTCCAAATCCACCCATTAGACTGATAGAGGCTGCTGACAAAAGCGGGTGACCAATTTGAACTGCAAGAAATTTTGTCCCCCAATCTCCTTGTGGCTTAATTTTCACCCAGCCTCGCCCTTCGTATCAGCTCCAGAAAAATGCATCCTGTCTTTCTCATTAACAACCCCACTTAAACCCCTGACCTCATCCTCTTCTTCAAGTTCAGGGTCATGGTCCTCTACGCCCTCCTTTTCTCTCATCCTTCATTTATCAGAGATTCTTCTCTGATCTTTACAAACCTGATCATTTTACCTTGTTCTCAAAGCAAACATGAATGGACGCCCTTCTCCCATGCCCCCTAAACAAAAAACAAATGCTTATTATTTTCCTCACTTGTTTCCTCGACAAAAGTGTTAGGGGTCGGGTCTGTTACCACCTCACTTCCATACCCACCCAGCCTTGTTCAAGTCTTTAATCCAGCATCTCAGGACAACAGTTCTCTGAAAGATTATAAATCACGCCCTATGAGTCAGCTTTCCACGTACCTATTTTCAAGTTTCATTGGACATGATATTTCCACAATTAATATGCATGACCTCTTTCTAGAAACTTCCTACTGTTTGTTCTGTGAGACACAGATGAGGGAATTCTTGGAAAATGAGGACAAGGCAACATACTGCAGTTCTGTTTGGAAGGGAAGGGCTAGAGCTGAGGCAAAAAAAAAATTAAGGTCACAGTTTGATTGTGGAAGAAAGAAAACTATTCTAGTCTATCCATTTCACATACAACTAATGATTTTGGTTCTCTTGACCTCCTTGTCTATGTTCATCCCTTAAAAAGCTTCTTCCCTTTACATGTGTCTAACTCCTAAAGATCAGAGCTCAGCTCTCTTTATCTATGAGGCTCATTCATTCCGAAACTGGACTTGGATACTGACTCAATATCTTCCATCCAACTCATTCCGAGTTCCAGTCTTGTTTCATTAGTCCATGAACGACTCTCAAGTTGAAGGATCAACAAACCCATTCAGGCCCCGCTCTACTTGCTTTGGAGTTAGAAACTGTGGATCATTCTGTCTGCCTCCTGCTGCTGCCATGAAAGCCACTCCTTCGTTTCTCCTAATCTTTTTGGCATCGTCTCTGCATTCCAGGAACATTTCTTCTCCTTTACTCACCCATAATTGTTATGAGTTCCTGAAGGCATCCTCCCTTTACCATTCTGTATTCACTTCCAGCTTCAATGTATAGAACACTCACAAATATTTATCTACTGCACACACACAGACACAGACAGACACACACACAGACACATATACACACTGGTTATTTAGATTATCTTTTGGATGCTGCAGAGAAACCTGGAACTCAGTATGTAAAAATGAACACTACTTCTTCTCAGATCCAGCTCTCTTTCAGCACTTACTGAATGATAACCTCATCCTTCCAAGTATTGGAGACAATCCCAGAAGTCACACTTGGCAGCTCACTTGCTCACTCCGGGATCCACCCATCACCAAAACCCAATCCAGTTACTTCCGAAATATCTCCTAGAGATCTATGTTCGTTTTCTTCCACTTTGCTAGTCCACATGAAGAAGACCTCTTCTAAAAGACTGGTAAGTACACACACTGATCTTGTTAACCTCTAACAATATTTTTTAAAACAAATTATTTCAAAAATCTTTTGAAGATGTCAGATTACCTGGGATATAGCTATGAATGCAGACAGACAAGAAGGAAAAGGTTTCTAGCAAGGGAGACTATGATAATAAAGCTACCTATTTCTATTATTAATCATATCTACTCCATACTGACTGTAGTAGGATGGGCAACATATATATATTAATAGATCTGAACAATGGGCTCTGCATTTGGGATGGAAACAAAGTTTTTGCAAGTTTCACTGTTCATGGTCCAGCACACAACTGGTATTTATAATAATGGCCCCATTTCATTAGAACATATGTTGTCTGGTAAAGTTGGCTGTTTACGCCAATGACATTTCTAAGATATTTTAGAGTTTTTTTTTTTTTTAAACCACAAAACTTAAAACACTCCTGAAAGTTCTAGGTATGTAACCTCAGTGATTTCAGGACAAAGATCTATAAAAGATGAAGTGTCCACCTTAACATACAAAACCAATCACTAATTTCCTTTGAACAACTATATAAAAATGATCCATAGTTAGCAGCATAAGTTATTTCATATTATGATCTATCTTGCCAGCAATTGAGCAGTAAAAATATTTTGATATAAATATAAACCAACTACTTAAAAATTTTCAGAAAAATTAAGAGAGAAAAAGAAATCTATGACCAGGGTATCATCTTTAACAGCCAGCTACAGAGACACAGCATGTGTGGTTATACCGTTTCAATATCTGAAATCAAGATCATCAGACTCATGACAGATGGGTCACAGAAAGACGAGATATTCACACAGATAATACTGAAAACCATTCAGAGGCATGGAGATACTGTCAATTATGGCTTGGAATGAAGCACGGGCGAGCCAGAGCCATCTCCTATAAGGAGGGTACCACATTTCCTGAGAACATACCTGCCGTGGGGGAGTTTGCATGGTGAGACTTCTTGGGCAGGTTGAAGATCTGTTCGCCGGGGTCAGGGGGAGGAATTGCATCTTGCCCTTGTCGTGCCTCTACAGGATCATACTCCTTCCCATCATAGTTAGCGTCGTAGAATTTCTTAAACCACTGAATAAAATCCAGGTTGTCTTGGAAACGCCCTTTCACCAGCTTTTCCACTGGAATTACCTGCAACGTCAGGCCAATACATGAGTCATGAACCTCAGGGTTCTTTGGAGTTTTATGCAATTATATCCTAAGAACTGCTTGCTTGGAATTCTTTTGTAAACAAAATTTTTTAAATTTTTATTTGCTCTTATATGTGTCCATGTATGTGCACCATGGGTGTGCTGAAGCCAGAAGAGGTCACTGGAGCCTCTGTAACTGAAGTTACAGGTTGCTGTGAGCCACCAGATGTTGGTGCTGGGAACTGAACCTTTCCTCTGTGGGAGCAGCAGGTACTCTTAACCACTGAGCAACCTTTGGCCCAACTGCCTGCAGTTCTTGACCGCTGATTGTTTACCCGTCTTCTTAGTGCTATTCTAGAATTAACATAATTTTTAACTATTAAAAAAAAATTTGGTTAAAAAAAACAACAACAATAAAACCCAGACAAACAAACAGCCAAACAACCCTTGAGTTGAGATCAAACTGGGCTACAGTGAGGCCTCATCTCAGAAAAGCCAAAAAACAAAAGAGAGGAACTTATCTTGTATATAGGATATTTATAGTTATGTAATATCCCCACAAAATACGAAGTCGAAGCATGTTCCAGTTTCTTTGGAAACCCTTGGCCCAATTGTATTGCGATAAACTCTTATCAGGTTTACAGTTACCAGATAGCGCACATGAACCAGGGACAGGTTCCAAGACGCCAAGCTAATAGGCCACAGGAAACAGAGCTCATTAAAATGTAGGGACGGCATCCCAGCTAACACAGCGCAGGGCCCAGGAGTGAGCCGCCCAGGAGCAGAGCTGGGGTTCCACAGGAGTGCAGAGACAGAGAGGAAGATGCTCATTAAGGGGGTCATGGGCGCATATGAAGAAGGCGCAGGTGACATGCACACGGCCTAAGAGAGACAAAGGTTTCAGAGTAACCTTTCCACTACAACCCAAAGGGCCAGCCAGGAGTTAGCCATGGCTAACTCTCACAGGAACCTTTGGAATTGTGACAAACAAAAAGTGGGGGGGGGGGGGCTTGATTGCTGAGCTGTAATTCAGAGGGCCACTTTTTTTTTTTTTTTTAAGGAAAATGGAACGGTATCATGATTCCCACATTGCACGAATACTGTTGTACTTCCTCTGTCACTGGGTGACAGCTGAATGCGAGCTATGTGAGCATGATAGAACTAGGTTATGAGTCAGAATGTACATGTGTAACGCGCATGATTCAGACAGAAGCCCAGTGTTCCCAAGTGCAGGAAACACAGCTTCATAGAATGACAGCATGAATAGAAACTGAAGAGACTAACCCTGCAGCAAGCCTCTGCCACCTTGGCAACCATATGCCACTCATTGTTGGTCATAAATGCCAATAGGGCCACTTCAAAAAGAACAGAAATGGTGGCTGTAGGTTCTCCTCTAAAATCCATGACTTTACCAGTTCTGGTTAGTTAGCTACATTTCTTGTGCCAGGTGTAATTTTCCTATTGTTGAGGGGATCCTAAGTCCAATTAGAGAGCCGCTGGCTACCTCCAAAGTATGTTGGCCACTACTACATGCTTACAGTTATAATGCCATGCTGGCATTGGTTGCTTCCCTCTTTTGGAAGCTTGCATGGCACTTTCTGGTACCATGAACAACAATTTATGAAAAAGGAAGTCATCAATTTGAAAAAGAGCAAGGTGGGGTGCATATGGAAAGGTTTGGATGGAAGAAAGAAAGGGGGGAAATGATGCAATTATATTATGATCTCAAAATTAAAAGAAATAATTTAAAAAAAAAGAGCAGAAAGCCCTTAACTATCAATCATAGCTTGGAAGAAAAAGGGAAGGAAGCTCCTTAGGCTAAGTCATCAGAGCTATATTTTGCAAAAATACCTGTTTAGGTGCAGCTGCAGTAGAGACCAACAGAGATGCAGAAGAAAATAAGGACATTTTTCATGAAGGTGCTTGTGGTCCGGGAGGCTCGGGTGCTGTCGTATCCCTCCTCTCACTTCCCTTGATCTCCCACTGGAAGGATTCCTGTCCGTTATCACTTCACTGACTTCTCTATGTATTTCGGTTGATGTCTGCTCTGAGTTTTACTGCTTGCTTTCAGAGAGACTGGCTGATAACTGGTGAGTGCCTTGTAGCACAATGTTCTTCATTAACGACTGAAGCAATTTGCCTGCTGCCTATGTGTGAGAACTTTACATTAGGGTGTTACATGGCAGCTCCTCTGTTGGCTTAATTTTGGGTTCTTGGTATCAGGGACATAAGCTTGAACTGGGTGCTCTAGCACAACCAGCTACTGTAGACACGATAGGTACGTGACATTGTGTCTCTCCGGGGATTTGGCAATCACAGCCTCTTGATGCTTGTGAGGCTGACAGGCTGGGGAGGCCAGGCTTTTCCTACTGAAAACTTGTTTTTCAACATTCTTAGCTTTGTGTGTCCACTTACAAGAGAGGCACACAAAGCTCTCCAATTAGATTCACAGCAAGTTCCAGCCAGAAACCTATGGATGGGTATTTCTTCCTTTGCATGTACATGCATGGGCTTAGAAGAGAAAGAAAGGAGGGGAGCCTGCAAAGCTGGGGAAGCAGGGAGAGAAATATCTGAAAATTAGCCACAGCCAAAGGAATAAAAGTCAAGATTTTTCAGAGAAACATATTTTTTGTCTATGTTCTTTTTGATTTGAAATGGGATTTTTTGCACGTGTTGTCCAGGATCTTCTCAAACTCTTAGGCTTGAGCAATACTCCTGCCTTAGCCTCAGGAGTGGCTGGAAATGACAGGTGTGCTCCACCATGCCTAGCTAAGAGCACACCATTTAAAATAAGAATTCTGAGAAAAGAAGCAGCCAGATTTTCTCAACATTCCAGTAAGGATGCATCTTACTTAGGGAAGCAATGGAGTATATTGAATTATTAAACTTTCCTTTAACTTTTATCTCTTATAACCTAGTATCTATTTGAAAAAATTCTTTAGCCTATTAATTTCTTTTATTAATACTGTTTTTATTTAAAATTTTTTTGGTTTTGTTTTTGTTTTTTTGAGACAGAGCTTCTCTGTGTAGCCTTGGCTCTCCTGGGCTCACTTTGTAGACCCGGCTGGCCTTGAACTCACAGAGATACACCTCCCCATATCTCTTTTGCCTCCCCGAGTGCTGAGATTATAGGAGTATGCAACCACCTGGCTTAATACTGTTTTTTGTTTGTAATACTGTTTTTTGTTTGTTTGTTTTGTTTTCCCCAAAGAGTTATATTCCTTCTTTGCTGGTTTATCTCTTTCTCCTTGTTTGAAAATCATGCCTTGTCATTCTTATTCATCCTAAGAGATAGATATTCTAAATAATGAACACATATTAGCAAGTGAACATTTGGACAGCAGCCAGCACTCCCAGAGAGACCACTAGGTCTTAGTTCCTTAGGCCATGAGTGCCAAGATTTCCATTTTTCCTACGGCAAAATTCTAATCCAAAGAGAAAAGCAACATTCATGATTGCTGGAATCTGAGAAATGCACTCTGCTGGACAGTTACAGGCATCTCCTCATCACTGTTTCATAGCCTCGAGGAAGGAGGGTTCTAGTCCTCTTTTACAGAGGAGCCAGTTTTGAAAATGTAAATGACTTGCTTCACTCTTAGAACTGAGATTCACACCCACGATGGTTCCCCATTAACAAGTTATTTTTCCAAAGGAGAAAAAAAAATATACCCACAGAACCCCGAGGCATCTGGGAAACATAAAAGCTTCTCATTTACGATATGGAGAAGCTAACAACTGCTATAACATTTAGGATTCTTGCTAAGAGGTTTCCGTCTAATGGCGACAGGGTAAAGGATTTCTTAAAGCCAAAACCTCACATGCATAGGAGGAGTCAGTCAGGGCTGTTGTCTATGTACATACAGGCTCCCATGAGGTCAGATCTCTAACTATACCCTTCACGGCTATGTTCTTAGACTTTTTCATTTTTGGTTACAAAGTACTTTAAGGGTGATGGATTATGGCTCTGATGTTCGTAGAGCTCTTTCAGAGGGCTGCAGTTCAATTCCCAGCACCCATCTTGGGTGGCTCCCAGTCATGTAACTCTGACTCCTGGAGAACCCCATGCCTTCTTGTGACCTTTGCAGGCACCGTGCTTATGCGTACAGACCCATCTACGAACACGCAGACACACAATTTAAAGATGCGAAAAGAAAAGAGTACATTTTGATGGGGCTATTAAGAAACCTCTTACCTTATCAACATTCATCCGTTTAAATGATGCTTGCAGAAGTTTAAAATTGTGAATATACTCATGCTCCAACTTGGCTTGGAATTTTACTTTCTTCAAACTAATACAGCCTGGGAAAAGCATATCCATGAACTGGCAATAGGCCGCTCCTAGAAAGAGACAAGAGAGGCATGGCTGAGTCTGGCTGTACTCAGGTGTGATGGAGGCCATGATGCCGGGCACCATGATACAGAGCAGGACCTCCTGAATGTACATCCCCTTTACCATTGCACAAGGGAAGAGGCCATGTCTCAACAGAACAGCACCCGTCGCCTCCCTGTCAGGTCTACTGTGCATTCAGTCCCCACGACCAACACGTGGGATCCTCCAATGATGCCAAAGAAGCCGTGGTAAGAATAATTCTTGCTGCTTCTATCAGAGGAAAGGTACACGACACAGCCTTGGCCATCCCTCTAGCTAGTGTGACCCTCACTGCCATCAGTCAGCTTAGGCAGAAAAAGCACAGAACATGTAACCAGGAGGGAGGTACACAGGTTCTTACAGCGTGGGTGCCCCCCCCCCCCACATGCTCATGCTGTATTACAACCATGTTGCAAAGTAACGGGGCTGGAAACTAACACTAGGCCTTCTAATACCAGAAGCAGCTGTATGCTGATCTCACTCCAACTCAAGGGCAACAGGCTTCCCTCATTAGCATATAGGAGGAAGCCAGGATGTCCTGACTTCATGACATGATTCAGAGTCATGTCACTTAAAACTGAGAGGAAAGTGTGCAGAATGTTCAATGGAAACCCCCCCCCCACCACCACCACCAAGGAGACATCTTAGCAAAAAGACTTTTACAGTTAAACATGAAGGTAGAACTACTGAAACATGCTAATCTCAGCTAGGAAAAAAAAAACATCAAGACAGTGTTTACTTGGCTCTTATCTGAATGGTAAAGACATTTAACATGAGAAACTGTCATGAGTCCCCTGTGAGGAAGAGTGAGGACAAGTGGTGTGGTGCTTAAATTTTTTTCTCTCCTCACCATCTTCAGATAGCTTGCTCTGTTACCATGATATGCTATTGATTCATCTTTCTGGACTGTGAAGGGTCTCCCTCATCTTTACCACCAAGGCTTCTGGGAGGCCTCGTCTTTCAAGTGGGAGACTCCCCTTTGGCTAAGCCACCACTGTGTCTTATGCCAAATCCTCTACTAAGATGGAGTCCCAGGAAGAGGAGACAAGACACTAGGAATCTAAAGGTTGTGTGGAACTAGAAACGCTGGGGTAGCTCATTCTTTGTAGGTGAGGTGATGAAGAGATGAAACACAGGCATCTGGCTTTCCCTTAGATGCCAACACCGTGAATCAAGCATTTCGTCATAAGCAGATGGCTTCTCTTAAAAAAAAAAACAAGACAAGGCATAGCAAACCCAAACCCCAAACTCTGGGGAGGTAAGAGGAAACATCAGGCTTGGGGCAGAGGAGGGGCTCAATTATCCAATCCTCCTTTTAAACGTGCCATCAGATGGACCAAACTGCAACCCCCTGCGATGTAACACAGGCGGGCATATGAAGGTGCTGTCTCTGACACAGTCTGCGAAGTTATTCTTTTTCTAGATATTAGCATTAAATTCTCATGAACCAACCACCCAAATCTTCCACTTTTCAAATTTAAAAATAAGTGATAACTTTAGAGGGTTTGAGGGGGAATCAGCACATTGAGGAAGGTTAGGAAAAATCATCTCAGCGTCTCTAATACCCATCACCAAGTGCAAACAAACCCCGCTTGTATTCAGGCATATACCATTTTGATTTTTTTTTTTTTTAGAGATGGGGTTATACATTTATTTATTTTTACTAGAATGTGATAATACTTTTAAAATACAACCATATCAATTTTTAGATACACCTTTGTTTCTGCAGTGCTAGGAATCAAACCCAAGGCGTTATACACACTGTGTAAGCACTCTCCCACACCTCAGGTCCTTTTTTGGCTCATTTAATATTCTCTATCAATGTTTTAATGGCATTCTGGTGTTTACATCATGCTTAGCAACTTCTCTCAACCGAGATCCCATAAATATTCATGCATAGTTTCAGTAAGTGCTTTTATGAGTTCCAGTTTTACATTCAAATTCTGGATCCATGTGGAATTTATTTTGGTTTGTGATAGAAAGTATGGTTCTAATTTTAGTCATTCCAAATGTTAGTGGGAATCTGTCAGTTTTTGACTCCTCTGCATTTGGATACCTTCTTACCAGTGAAATGCTACAGGGCCCAGCCTCAATACCCCAGAAGCTGAATGTAGGTGAGCCTCCTTTCCTGCCTGCACACTGAGGGTGCGGGCCCATGACAGGAGCGATGTTGTGTACATTTCTGCCTCTGTCAAATGATGGAGAGAAAAATGCAGAGACAAAGAGTTTGTCATGTGGCAGCACTGCCTCTGGAGCGCCATGAAGCACGGGGCTTCCTATTCTTACAATCCTCTTCTCCAGGCGCAAGGAGGTTCCTTCACCTCTGACCTTGACTCTCCATGCATGCTGAGCTACCCAACATCTTTCCTGAGAACTCTTTTCTCCTTAAGCTTGTCAAGATTACTTTCTGGAATGTTTATTCCAAACTGCCAACTAATAAGCCAGCCATGTCTTGGTCCCTGATCAGAGCTCGGTGTTTACCATGATTACTTTCCTAATACAGGTGCTGAGACTTTTTTTTTTAATCTGGGAAGGGCATTTTTACTTGTCACAACATGTAAGATACAAGCATTCTAGGCATACCACTGGAAAATCTTATTGCTATTAATACATTCTGTTTAAAAAGTAGAACTAAAATAAAAGTGAATGTTTTATAATATATATTTTCATATATAAATTTCTCTATTTTTTTGTTTTACAAGACAGGGTCTCTGTGTAGCCTTGGCTGTCCTGGACTCGATTTGTAGACCAAGCTGGCCTTGAACTCATAGAGAGCCACCTGCCTCTGCCTCCCTGAGTTCTGGCATCACAGGTGTGCACCACTGTGCCTCGCTATTCCCAAATATTCATATTATCATGTTGCTAAAAGTGTGATTTAAGACTGTGAATCATGTGGTTTAAGTCTGTCCCTGTGACAGCCCTATCTTCTTATCTAGTATCTATATTCTGTATTAATAGAGCTTGTGTTTTACAACATCTCTCTGGCTGGGTGATGGTGCACACCTTTAATCCCAGCACTCAGGAGGCATGGGCAAGCGGTTCTCTGAGTTCAAGTTCTCTGTTCTACAGAGAAAATTCTAAGACAGCCAGGGCTATACACAGAAACCCTGTCTTGAAAAACAAAAACAAACAAACAAAATTCTACAACCTCCCACAAAAAAAAAAAAAAAAAAAAAATAATCCCAAAAAAACAATTTCCCTTCTCTCAAAAAATTAAGAAAAAAGATCATTTATTTATTCTTTCCATTGTAGGTTTGAATTTAAAAGGCATACAGTAACAAGCCTTTTCAAAACATTCAGATATAATTTATAAGAAAACCTTTTAAAATGTGCAATTCAGTTTTCAGTAGTTCCATATTCACGGGACTGTAAATCCAATACCAGGTATCTAATTCCAGAATATCTTTTACCAACACACACAGACTCCCCAGCCACTGGCGGCCACTCTCTCTGCTCTCCCTCCCCTGTGTGCTGGCAACTGTTACTCTAACTTTCCATGTATCTGCCTTTCCCCCCTGATTTCACATAAAGGGGATCATACTTTGAGACCCCTGAGCTTGTTTTTCTTTCCTCAGAAAAACCTTTCAAGATTCATTAGACCTCTAATCCTTTTTATGGATAATATTTCATTATATAAGTGCACCACATTTTATCAATCCATCCATCAGTCAGTGGGCATCTGGGCCACTTGGGGACTATTGAGGAAAGCTGCTAAGAACATTTGTAAGTTCCTGCGTGACATATGTTTTCATTGGCTGTAAGGTGGAATCTCCTTTGAGTCATGTGGTGTCTCCGTGATAAACATCTTGAAGACTGGCCCATCTGTTTTCCGCAGGCACACCATCTTATTTTCCCACCAGCAATGTACGTGGACCTCAACTCCACACTTGCTACTGTCTGTTATTTTGATCCTGGCTGTCCTAGCGGGTGCAGTCGGTGCCTCATGGAGGCTTTATTGCCACGGTGCTGAACGTCTTCCCACAGAGCTTCTGGGTCACTGTATACTGCCCTTAGAGGAATCCTTACAAACCCTTTACCTGTTTTTAAGCTGAGATACACTTTTGTTGAGGTGTGGGAATTCTATGTTCTAGACACAGCTCTCTCATCAGATGGGTGGTTTGAAAATACTCCCTGCCCCATTACGTGGACTCTTTCTGACAGTATCACCTGAAGTGTATGCTTCCAATTGTGAGCTAATCCCACGTAACCTCTCAGTCCTTGTGCTTATGCTTAAGAAACCACTGCCTAGCCAGGCGTGGTGGTGCACACCCGTAATCGCAGAACCCTGGGAGGCAGAGGTGGCAGATCTTTGAGAGTTCGAGGCCAGCCTGGTCTACAAAGTGAGTCCAGGATAGCCAAGGCTACAAAGAGAAATCCTGTCTCAAACAAAACAAAACAAAACAAAACAAGACAAAACAAGAAACCTGATGATGAAGATCCACACCCACACTGCCTGCTCCGAGGTGGTAAACATTGCACTTAATGCTTTCTTCTAAAGGCTGCATGGTTCTACTTTTGACATTCAGGTTTATGATCCATTTTGAGCGGACTGGTGAGGTTGAATGGGATGTCATCGTTCTGCGTGTGAATGTCGTTATCCCAGGAGTTAGCGCAGAAGTAGGGACAGGAGAAAAGAGTCTACACTCTTCGTACATTCTAGTACAGTGGCTCAGTGGCAGTGTGAAGTTGAGAAGGGTGATTTTGTTTCATTTCATCAAAGTTCTGTGGTATCTGAGCACACCTGGATGCTTTATAAGAGAGCTTTACAGAGGGGAGTTTGCTTGGCAAGTGAGGCTGAGGGTTTCCGCAGGAGTCACTCAGGAAGAAGGCAGAAGTGAAGAGTTGCCGTTGGACAGGGGCATTGTAGGGGTTATGCTGTGCTCAAGTTCTTGTCCCTGTGAGTTATAACGATGGGTGCAGCTGACTTCAAGATATCCTTTCTACGATGTACTATTGGCATGCCCCTTCA